GGCCCTGTGACAGCTGTGTGCCTGTAGTGTACAGACAGAGGTGTTACGCTGGCCCTGTGACAGCTGTGTGCCTGTGGTGTACAGACAGAGGTGTTACGCTGGCCCTGTGACAGCTGTGTGCCTGTAGTGTACAGACAGAGGTGTTACGCTGGCCCTGTGACAGCTGTGTGCCTGGAATATACAGACAGAGGTGTTACCTTGACAATCTGACACCCAGAGCTTTGCCCAGATCCCAAGGAGATTTCCATGGAAATTGACTGGCTGCTTTACTGTAAAGATTTGTTCATTAGGAAAACCATTGAAAGATTTCAGGCCCTTTGGAAAATGACAATGGAAGCAGGTCACCTAACTAAGACAGAATAATGGGGATCATATGTTAAAGCACAGAACTGGGTTTTCTGCAGTACTACCATATAAATGCATGTTCATAGAGAGTGTATACAAACTGAAGGCCAGAACTAGGTATAAGCACTATAATTTCTACTGTGAATGCCAGGCATGGTAGTGCATTCTGATGGTGACCCACTTCTCCTTCCTTTGTTTAGTATCCTGACTCTTTTATGAGGTATCCATAGTAATACTGTTGCACTGCTATTCATCAGTTTGTTTTATGGGGAAGCAATGCATGAAATATTTGCACATTACAGAGAAGACAGAAAGCAGCTTACCTTACAATTAAATACCTAGAAATAGGAAAATGTAAAATGTTAAAAGTTTGTAGTGGGGTTTCTGGAGGGAGTGTTTATGATATCTTGCCCAATCCTATGTGAGCAAAATTGACTTTGTTTATGTCGTTGACGCCTTGGTTATTACACCCAACAGCTGCACATTAAAATGACGTGCTATGTAATGTCAAAAAGGAACCACAATAAAGCTTCAAGTGGTAAATGGTGTTTTTGGAATATTCTGGAATCACTGGGAGTGTCCTGACAGTTCAATGGAAGAAGAAAAAGATATTCAGTGGGGTAATCAAACAGTCTTGCCAGTGAGGATCTGTGTTTGGATGCTGGGAGAGTAGTTTGAGTGGACCTCCATCACCACTGCCACAAAACACTTGCATAATTAATCTGGCATTTATCTTTGCTTTCGTTAAATAAATAAGTGCAATTTTTGTGGTCATTGTAATTCTATATTAGAATTGATATATTAGTCAGATGCGGAGATATCCAAATCACTTTACTTAATTTAAATAATATCATGAACTTTGGGTCTAGTGAGTTTATTTTTTACCTGCTTTATTTTATGTATTTGACTGTGGGGGATGCAGCATGTGCCTCTGTGGGTTAGACTGCTGTGCCTGTGATCGGAAGGTTGTGGGTTCAAATCCCAGGGACAGCAGAGTGATGTCACCACTGGGCCCTTGAGTAAGGCTCTTATCCTCATTTGCTCCAGGGGTTGGCTGACCCTGCTTTCTCAGAAATGTATGTCATTTTGGGTGAAAATCTCTGCTAAATAAACATAAATACCATCCATTATAATCTGTAGTTCATTTTTCGAATGATTTGTGATTGTCTCGGCAGCCCATGAGTGTAACTGACATCAGGGTTAACTTGGAAGAGGCCAGGGCAGCTTTCGCCTCTGCTGCCTTGCCCCACGGACCCCCTCAGTCACATTTCTGTCCCCGATCCTCCCCCCAGCCTGCCTGCGTGTCAGATGTTGGTGGGATAAGCAGGTCCGCCAGCAACAGACAGGCTCATTGAGCTGTGGTAGCGTGCTGCCATAGAAACAGCTATTCACCATTTCTGTGACAAAAATGTTTCTATCGCTGTGTTCTTCACTAAGGGGCGTTGTGACAGCAATACCAATGAGAAGTTTACTGCAAGTAATACATCTTTACATTTCCTTCCTGAGAATAAAAGATCATGTAAGCGGAATAATATCCTGAAGCCTTGTAATGTGTAAGATTTACTGCACATCTGCTCTTGTTTTATAACTGCCCAGAGTATTTTAACATACCTTATATCTTACTTACAGTTGAGGAGATGCAAAGACCATTCTGGGTCATATATTGAATTGCCTTGATTTCCTTTTGTTTAACTCAAAGTTTAACTCTAGCAACCCACTGCGCATAGTGACGTCGGAATGACATCTTTAATATGTCGTTTTTGGACGTCCAATTTTGGTCCACTGAAGGGGTTGTTTTGTAACGCCAGGCGACGTCTTTTTTTGACGTCTAATGAACGTCTAGTATTGACGGCCGTGGGACCTCCATGTATGGGCTATTTATAGTCCAAATGTGGTCGTTGTGGACGTCTTATAATACCAAAAGCAGACTAATTTTAGACAATGTGTATGTCGTGTCTCGACTAAATTCATATATAAATGAACAATTTCACCATGCTTTCAATTAAAACTTAAATTTAAATAACGTATTGCTGCGACGGGCAGATGGAGGTATCGCGAACAGAGAAACACGGAGACTACTCTGTCGGAGAACATCCACTCAATTAATAATCCGTACAAGGATTACATCAGGCACCCATCGAGCACCAAACATATAATTATATG